CCGAACTGCGCCCACGTTATTCCCCAATACTTTCTGCCCCTTGGTTGTCCCAAAGCCGCCGAATCCAAGCATAGCTTGCATGGCGTCTAGTCCGTCTTCTTCCACAATGACATCCTCCGTCTCGTCCTCGTCCATGGGTTCCGCGCCGAACCGGTCACGCGACGTCTCTCCTTGGTCGTGTTGGCGATCGTCGTGGCCATCCTGGTTTCCGCCCTGTGGATGCTCTTCATGTCCATGGCTCTCCACCTTGCGGTCCTGCCCTTTGACCCTGAACGAGACTGGGGCTGCAGGAGCGGACGGAGCTGCCGGCTTTGTTCGAGTTGGAAGCTGCTGGGGACTCGCAGAGCGGCGGGGAGAAATACTCCGGCGTTGCTCTCTATCCTTGTCTTTACCATCCCGCCCGTTGCGATCCCGGTGGTCCCTTCCTTCATCGCGACGACGAGATTCTCGGTCCTCCGCACCGCCTCTTAGTCGTTCATCGCGCCGCCCGTAACCACGGTCTCGTAGTGGGGATCGCGAGCGTCGGCGATCTCGCCTGTCCCTCGAGCGGGATCGTTGCTTGCGGTAGGCTGAGTCACGGTCTCGATTTCGGTCGCGCTCCCGCCCGTTGTCGTCCCTGCGGTGCTCTCGATGGTCGTAATCGCGATCCCTGCCTCCTCGGGCATAGCGATCTCTCCGATCAGACGTGTCGTTGGATGACCTGTCGCCGTCACGGCGCGATGGCCTGCTCGATCGTTCCGACATTCTGCTGTCGACAGCGACCTGCAACGCGGGATGCAGAAAGATAATAAAGCGCCAGGCAGAGATAAACTCTTCCTGAATCGGGGGTGGGACAGACAGGCACCACGACACTAAGTAAAACCAATCTCAGCGCAGGAAAACTTGGGTAAGTTTCAGCAAGGCTGGTTTGGGAACAGAAAGCTCCTTTGTTTTGCGTTGCTCCGTTCAACACATCCAACCCTAACCCCGTGAAGAAAAAAAGTTTCTCCTGGACGGCGCACGTGGAAGGACTTCGGTGGCTTCTCTAAACCTGCAATTCGTGAGATCAAACAGAAGTGTTGGCTTGCGTTGGCTCGTGTCTAGAAATTTGGCGAAGCGTGATGGTATGGTTCCAACAACCGATCCACCTGCCTCCTCTGTTGCGCGGGAGGTTCCAAGAGAATGACAAGGATGACGTGGGGAAAGCTTGGCGCTATCGCCTAAGTGGTTAGGCGCGGTTTGCGCAGGGTGGGGCCAGGAACCCCGCGAGGTGATGGCAACGACGTGGACGTGGCTTGGGAAGCGCCACATTGAGATCATGTTCCTGGCCTTTGCGATGAATGCATCATGCATGCGCTGACGATCCAGAGAGGGGTACTTGGTATTGCGAGCCGAAAATAATTCAACCAGCACCTGGACCTTTACTCGCCTCAGCACATCTCGAAGCTGTATATTTATAATCTCGCAGCCAACCCCGCAAAGGTACCCTGAAGTCGGACCCAACTGTGGCGCGCTTTCCGGGCTCCAAGAGGCTAATCCCGGTTGCGGTTTGCGCAGTAGACGAACCCCGACTGAGCTCTATGAAGCTTCCAACAGGTTGACGAGTGCTTGCCCAGGCCCAAGTTGCGTTTCGCCGTTCCGTCTTGAGCTTCATCTCTTAGGAGAACTTTCCGCTTCAGTTCGTTGTTTCACTGTGGCAGCTACACTTGTCTTTTGGCGGACTTTCCGCTGGATACTCCCCTCCGACGAAGCTTCCCAACACCTGGCATGACGGCATAGCTAGGACAGCACCTTCCCTCTCTTTGAATGACTCCTGTGCAATTACCCCAGTCCCCAACGCTAAATTCACAAAATGGCTTCCCAACAACCTGTCAGAGAAGACGACATTCAAATGGTGGCGAGTGTCACAGGCCTAAAGGATATCAACATTATTTCCTCGGCTCTTCGAAACCATAAAAATATTGTTGAGGCTGTGGTTGGGGAGTATTTTGACAGTGGCTTCGAAAAGTTTACTCAACGACACGGTGGCTGGGACGAATCAGCCTTTGCCTCGACCCGAGAAGGCGACCAGTCGACGTTCACCCAGAATACAAATCCTTGTAAGGACAAATCGACCTTGGAGCTTGCTGGAACTGTTGCTAATTTCTGTGATACCTCCGATAGCATTCGCAATCCACGCCCCCGATGAGCATCCCGTAATACATGGACAAGACCCAGACGCCTTCTACAGCTCAGCAGCCCCATCGAGACCCCCTTCTCGGGCCAACAATCGATCTCCCCTCTCCCGAACAGTGGACCTGACTGCCGGCGATCTCTCCCGACTGGATAAAGAGGACGCTTTGCTACAGCAGGCTATCAACGAGTCTCTCCAGCTATCGAACCCACAATCGCAAGGACAGACGCAAAGACAAGGGCTTCCCCCACCCCCACCTTTACCGCAACAGTCGGGCATACTATCAACCGGCGAAGCATCCGGCCAGCACTTTGGCCCAGCGACAAGAACTGTATATGAGGAGTCCGAGTGGGCGTTGACAAGGTACAACAAGGTGGAAATGGATCCGAAGCCCTCTGACCGGAGGCGAAGGCCGGACACGCCAGTTTTCCTACGCCGGCGTCCTGGGAACGGGGACCATCGCATTGGCGGTATTCTCACCATCTTGAATGAAATACCTGCCGCCCGAAATGCTTTGCTTCGCGCCGGAACAACGTCCCACAGATACGGTCACGCCGCAGACTGGTGGTGCGGAAACGCGATCTCCCGCTCAGGTATCCAGCCAACCGAAGAGAGCCCGGAAGACGCGCCGCTCCCGGATTGGTACGAAGAGCTTCATCGCCTAGTGGCATTTCTGAATTATACAGAACGTAGCTACGGAACAGCCGATATACTCGCACAGTCTAGGTCATCTCTACCCGATACGACCGGAAACCTAGAGCGAGACTTCTTTGAGGAGCTTGAAAATGACCGATCACATTCAGGAGCTGCCTTCAGAACGTCCGTGGAGATAACGTCTCTGCAGGGCGATGCTTCCGAAGGCGTCTCGCAATGTTTTACTCTCCTAGATAACCAATACCGGCAAGAGGCACTCGGAATGGCGGAGAGCCTATACACAATATGGGACATGATTTTCTATGCCGATACTGGCGAAAGCCCTGACCTCGCCCGTATGGCGATGATTATCGATCCTGGCGATGTCATCACTTGTCGATTTGACGGGGACGAATGGCCGAATTCAATCGAGATCCCGGAAACATTCTACGTTGATAGATACATGGCCGAAAACAGATTTCAAATGAGCGAGATACAGCGTGCAGTCGCATACCTCAATGGCAGGTTCCAGGAGAGTCGGGAGTGGGAGGAGGGTCTGAAATCCTGGTATTGCGGCAAAACTGGCAGCTTTGAGAGTCGTCTCGAGGTAGCCGACGGGTGCATCAAGGCTTGCCAGGACAGAATAACGAGGATCAAAAATCGGGCCCATTGGAGAGAACACTTGGGATCATTGGACCAAGGGGAGCGTCTGGACCGGTTTTACATTGACGCTCTCAAGAAAGAACCGACTCTGCGTGCCGAAGAAGCAAAGGCCGTCCAATTCTACCAGGACAAGGTCAACTTCATGGAAGCGCAGAGAGAGCAAATCAACAAGATTCTTACGGGTGAGTTCTCGGCGTCCATGCCATTGATTCAGATGTTGCTGACACGCGTCTGCTTAGAGAACGTTATGCCAGAACGAGCGAGACTCGACGAGGATTCGCGCCGCATTGGAGGTCTGCTAACAGGTCCGTCGCAAGACGAGCAGTGGAATGCGACGCACAAATACACGCTGCGGGGAGTAACCAGCAACCCTGACACGGTGTTTGTGCGAAAGTACGAGCAAAACCTTATGGGGGATGCAGACGAGTCGACATCGCAGTGGTGGAAGCTACAGTGGAACAATGACAACAACACACTTCTAGCCGAGGTAAGGCGGCAAGCTCAAGGACACAGCGAAGATGACTGACGAAAGGTAGCCAACAACGTACGAGGCCGCAATGCGCGAGGCCTGTAGCAAAGGCTGCAAACCGATTATCATCTATGCCAACCACAAGGCAATGGCTGAAAGCCCCATTGAGCTCCCGGACACACTGAAGACATTCGTCCGCGATGACAACCAACTCTTTAAGAAGGAACTTAGAAAGGAAGAGCAGGAGAAGGCTGAGCAACCGGGGAAAGCCCAGGCCCCGCAAAATGACAGTCGACCGGTGGACAACGGGCACATCCAGGAGATGGGCGCTGACCTCAGGTCAACACTTAGGGCGGCTGGGATGAAGTCACAAGAACGGAGGGATAGCATGGACTCAATGGCTACTAACCAGTCGTCGTCGATTCGCGGTGTAGACGCTGAAATGGCAGACGCCCCAGCTTCCGCGCCGCAGCTCTTCACGGAAGATGACGCATTAATGACCGATGCGCCATTGGTGGATGTCGAGAATGCCGAGCAGGTGGGCAAAGACTGTCCCGTCTCACCACCATCTTCTGCGCCAGAGATGCAGGAGAGGGCGCATGGGCCGATTATGTTGCGGTCGGCCGTAGAGGCCGGGCATGGCGGGCAAGTAACGGCTTGAGTGACTGAAGAGCGGATCAGGTGTCTTCATGGGTGTAGCGAGGCATATCTTAGAGGCTTGGTGTAGAGATTAGCTCTTTCTCTGAGCATCGTGCAGAGACGTAGCACGCTGGGGGAGTAGTGGAGGACTGCCCTGGTTGATCAGAAACATGAGATACCCCATTGCACCAACTCGATGCTCGACTAATACAGTGGAATATGTGGCATTTATCACTGCCACGCTAATGTCCTGTCATAGGTATGGCTAGGGGTGGCTCGTCCTTGACCCTGAGCATCAAATGATCGGTGATTGGATTGCGCACCTTGCTTCTAGCAAGCCAACTCCCCAACTAAGTCAGCATGTGGAATATTATCCAACTACACGAACAAGCATTATATATTCCAGATGGTGTTTGTTTCGATATTTACCTAGCAAAAATGAATTGCGGCGTCCAAGAATCGAACTCGGGTCCTAAGCAATCTCACACAAGTGGGAAGCTTAGATGCTAACCATTACACCAACGCCGCGGTGGTTGCTGGAAAAGCTGCCATTGCTGACAAGACAACGGACGAAAACAGTTCAAATGCTTCCGTTTTAGCCGGCTACAAGAGGACACCCGAACGCCTCTGGAAATGGGCTGCGTTACCCGCGACTATCACGTGAAAGGGGAGTGAGAGAGGGGACTGCAAGCTCTCAAGCTCCCAGCACTGTGGGCAAGCGTGAGACTGGGCTGGAGCTTCAGTGGGGCAGGGGCTCAGTCAACCTTAGCTTGGCTGCTTTGGCCCCACACTCGACAAGAAGATGAGACGGCCTGAAGGTTGGGCGGGTGGGGGCAGACGTAATGCGGGGCAATTCTCGTTGCTGGATCCCAATGGAAGCTCCCGCCTCAACACCTAACCATCTAATAACCTGGCGATCGATGGTAGGTTGTTGACGTTGTCATAACCAAAAACGTCCCGATTATCTTCCGCGGTGCTTTCATTTCTTTTCCTTGAGCATTTGCGACATTGGTTTAAATAACCACGTTGCGAGACAAAGGAGCTCCGAGAATTCGACCGCCAAGATGACGTCCAAAATCGATCGCATTATCGCCCGTCTGCAGAAGCGCATAGCAGAAGGCCAGCCCGAGGAGCAGTATGAAGCTCAGCAAGAGACGCGACTCGTTGCCGCGCGCTACACCAAGGCCGAGAACTGGCCCGCCGCCGTCGATATCCTCTCCAGCGTGTCGCAAGCCCTACTCAAGGCGGGGCAGGGAGGTAGTGGCGGCGATCTTGCCATCCTGTTGGTCGACGTCTACAAGCAGAGCAAACAGAAGCCGGATGCAGAGTCCAAGGGGAGGTTGTTGACGTGCCTCCGGCTGTTCGACAGCGAGGAGCCCACAAGGAAGAAGTTCATCAAGGAGATGATTGAGTGAGTTTGGTTTCCGCATTGCGACCCGGACTTGAACTTACGGGAACAGTTGGTCGAAAAGACTTGGTGATTATCCGGCTGGCGATCCAGAGTTGCATCACGTCGTGGGGTCACTTTACGCCGTCGAGCACGAGGTAGAAGAAGCTGAACGACACTTGCTATACGGCACCAAGGACTCCCCCGAAGTACTTGTGCGCCTGGAATACGAATGGTACAAGAACGATGAGTCGCATACCGCGCCCATCTACGCTGCTCGAGCCATCCTGCCCTACTTGCTTCTCGCCAATGTCCGCGCCGCGAACGCTTCTTACCGAGCATTCATCAGCACACTGAGGGAAGGAAACAAGAGTCTTGTCGTGCAAGACGTCAGTTCCCAGAGCTCTGACGTTCGCATCTTCCCTAGTCTCCCTCTTCTCAATTTCCTCAGTCTGCTCCTACTCGCGGTGCAAAAGGGCACACCCGATTTGTACAGGCAACTTCGGGCTAAATATGCCCCGCATATCAACGAGCTGGGGGGTGCGTGGGATACGGCGCTGGAGATGATCGCCGAGATGTACTTCAACATCCAACGGCCGAGGCAGAGCAACCCACTGATGGATATGATGGGGAGCTTGTTCGGCGGAGGAGGACTGGGAGGAATGGGCGGTGCTCCCGGCAGGCCAGCGGCTCGGAGGGTCGAGGGGCCTGCAGCCGAAGGCTTGGACTGAGTAGCTGCCATTCCGACATCAGCCCAGCGCTGCGGATAGGTTCGATGGAAATGTAAGGAGTTTGAAGCGCCCAGATAAGAGCAAAAGCCCGTGAACGAAGCCTTTTTACTGATGACGAGGCAATTCCTCCCGCTCAAACATCCAATTGTCTTCTGCCAACGCGGCAACCTTTTGCCTCAGACTTGCCTTGACCGCGTCTAGTAGCTCTGCAACCCCATGAGTTAACAAAAGCGCACCACTTGCTCCTTTCAGCGTAACTCACCTTCAGGCCGTCCAAACCCAGCCTTTTCCCCCCTCCACTCCTTAACCGCCTCCGTCAACCGCAACCGCTCCCTCTCCCCCTCTTGTGTCGCATCCATCTGAGCCGCCGCCGCCTCGTCGACGTCATCCACGAATCCAGACGGCGTCGGCGGATCCCCCAGCTCGATCTCCCCGTTCTTATCGCGGATCACAATATCCAGGTACGCTTCCGCTTCGACCGGCGGAGGCAGGTGCAGGTCGACATTGTCAAGACGTAGGGTGTCGGAGGTAGATGCGGAGGATGTCGAGCCGGCGGTTGGACGGCGCGTCAGCTGGCTCTGGAAGAGGTTTCGGCGGACGCTGGTGGATGGCGGGCCTGTTGCGAGACCATTGCGGGAGGAGCTCTTAGCTATTCCGGGGGGTAGTCCGCGCTGCGGAGGGGCGCCGTGGCGGTCGTTCATCGTGTCGGTCGGGAGCTGTGTCGCTCGCTTGCTTGCGTGCTTGCTCGATGCTCGATAGGGGTGGAGAGGTTAGGAACTAGGTTTGGTCGTATGAGATGTATGCGCGACAGGGCATATGCAATGCGTGCGGATGAGGAGGGTTGGGTGTAGGAGAAGGGCAGCATTCATGGGACGACACGGGTCGCGGGATGCGATGGGTAGGTGGGGCAACTATGGGCAAGGACAAGCAACGCGAGCTCACGTGACCCGGTTCTTCTTTTGCTTTGGTGAGCGTCATCAAAAGTCACAAGACATGTCCATTCCACAACATCCTTGAGCCTCAGGCAACTCACTGCGAGAAACGTAGCGTCTCATTCTCATACCCGTCGTGGCCATATTGAATACAATGGACCATTTTTGGTGCACTGCCTCCACAGCACTGTTTTTCTAGACCCGTGCCTTGCCCAGAAACCAACCAGATCCTTATCTCGTGCTGAATTCATATCATAACATAAAGATCGTTGAATATAAATCTCTGCCAAATCTGTGCGGAGCAGCCTTGTCTTGCTTTCCCAGGTAATCCTGGCCGGGATAGAGTAAGGAAATAACCAAAAACGCAATTGGGTATATGTATATGAGCAAAAAAAAAAAAAAAAAGGATCCCCTTCTCCGACCAATTCCGTCAAGCTTCCTGGAAAATATAGCCTCCAATCCATATCTTGACAGTTCAACCACTCAATTCAGCACAGTTGCCTCTCTCAATCGGTTGCTCTACCCTTGTCCGAAGTCACATCGACTGACTTAAGAAGCTGTCTGAGGCTTCCTTCTGCGTAGCTAGCCGTGTCGCGGCTCAGCGAGCCATCGGTCGTACTTTTGGGTTGTTGCCTCCAGGGAATCCAACTACTCCATCCTCCACCGGAGGTCTTTGCTTCCTCTTGATGAGGCAGGTCGTCAGCAAGGTGCACTTCAATTTGCTGTTCTGGTGAGATCGCTCTGCTACCATTAGAGCCCTCTCTGTCGGATTCGTGGCCTGGGGTGGTTCTGACACCAAGATTTGTGTTTGATGTTTGGGGTAGGGCGGGTTCGCTGATGAGAGCAGAAGCGGCCTCGTTCTTGCCGACACTGCGGCCACTATCGATGATGGCTGTAGCAAACGATGCTGATTTTTTCCGGGCGAGCATCACCTTGGAGGTTTGCTCATCAGAGCCGCTTTGCTGGCCGGACCTGCGATGACCTCCGACCTCAATCCCTATTGATCCCGATTTCGAGCCTGAGCCCGAACCTGTCGAGCTGTCCCAGTTCTTCCTCGAGGCTCTACCCCGGACCTCACTAGTAATCTCAGCGGCAGGCTTCTTCTTGGACTTGTCTTCCTCCGAGGACCGACTTGACGACATGATGGTTTCTAGCGTGCCATAGGCGACGCTCTTCCGTCGGCCTCCACTTCTTCGTTTCCGATGTGAGCGGGCAACGCTATCGTCGTCATCAAAACTGAATGCCTGCAAGGTTGGGCCCCCATGGTTCCTCCTCTGTCCCGACACGGAGCTGTTTATCACGAAGGACTGGCCTGATCCATGCGGAGCGACATGTACTTCGTATTGGTTGCTTAAGCTGTACCGCGAGCGTGCGCATATTTCGGCAATGCGGTCAAGGTCGGCGCTGATTCCGCCGTCGGCACCTCTGGCTTGTACATCGGCCATGATGCCCTTGAAGGAAAACGCTTCCAGTGGGGGTAGCCTTGTCACATCGGGATCTGGGCGTCCAGGAGTCGAAGACCATTGCCACGGGAGAGACATGGGCAGTGGTAGTGGAATCGGCAATTTTCCAGCGCTCTTTGCCGGTTTGTGGCGTGGCACGCTTTGGCCGCTCGGTCGGTCCATGCTTTCATCTGCCTGCCACCCGGTGGTTGAGCCGCTGTTCTCAACGCCGCTCAGTGCGGGTTGAATGGGCTTGCTAGAGAGGCTGGTCGTGCCTTGTCTCGATGGCACTGGCAATGGAACCCGTCTAGAGCCGCCTCGGTTGCTGCTGGAAGGTCGATATAGGGAGCTGCGACCGCCGTGGGGTGTTTGCGGCGGGGGCAAGCCAGTGTAAGTGCGTACGAGGACAGGCTGGGAATAGGTGCTGCTCTGGGCCCCGGCGCTTTTGGCGTAGCGGTGGCGTCGTACTTCGGACGGGTATGTGCTGTTGAGTTTCTGGAGTGCAGAGGTACGATGAGCGGCCGTGGTGTCGTCGAGAGGTATTGGTCTGCCTTCAGCGGTTGACGGAACCAGAGACGTGGAGGAAGTGTTTGCCTGAAACAGCGGCGGGAATGGGAAGTTGACGGGATGGGAGTTTCTTCTAGGCCTTGGGCCCAGCTCCGGTAGCTGAGACTTCGCTGTCTGCGCTGCAGAGGGAGAGGTCGATGAAGTGGAAGGGAGAGGCACGGTCAACGGGCCCTGAATGTGAAGGGTGGGTCCTGGGGACGACGAGTGCTGTTCGCCATGAACAGAGTCCTGCTCTGCATTTGCGCACCCCGGGCGAGGTTCCTGTGGTTTGCCGTATAAATACATGTTGGCCAGATCGGAGAACGTGCTTGGGCCGCAGCATGCAGTATGTCGTGGTGGCTCGTGGAGGGTTCGCAGTGATGGCGGCGGACTGGGTAAGGATCAGGGCCGGGATGAGGACGACATGGTCGTTGGACAGCTGCGTGCCCCGGGTTCTCAACGATGCCGCGCAGTGCGAAAAAAAAAATGC